CTAAGAACTGAGCGCGAGGCTCACCTGATAACTGAGCGCAAGGTTCACCTGATAACTGAGCGCGAGGCTCAACTTGAATTGAGCGCGAGGCTCCCCTGAGAACTGAGCGCGAGGCTCAACTTGAATTGAGCGCGAGGCTCACCTGAGAACGAATGCGAAGTTCGTTAAATTTGAGCACGAGGCTCACCTGAGTTGAGCGCGAGGCTCACATGAGAACGAACGCGAAGTTCGTTAAAATTGAGCGCGAGGCTCACCTTATAACGAACGCGAAGTTCAGTTGAGGTAACCACCTCCTTAATTTTCATCACGATTAATCGCACGAACCCTTAGGGTTTCAAACTAAAACCGCCGCCGACCAAACCCAAAAAATTCCTCGATTTTTTATTTTCAAAACCAGATCCATAAACGGAAAAACTTTTCTTGATCCAGATCCAAGAAAAAATCCAAAAAATTCCAAAAAGTTACTGTTCATCCGAAAAACTTTACTGTTCATCCAAAAAAAATTTCAACAGCTGTTACTGTTCATCCGGACATTACTGTTCATCCGAGAACAGATCTTAATCCAAAAACCAGAGATTTAAGATCAAAAAACCCAATTTTAAAACTTAAATCCCTAAGAATTAATCAAAGGTGGCTCTGATACCACTTGTTAGATCTAATAAAGAACTTGAGATCTAAAACCATAAAGTCATGATTAATTCGAAGAGATTAACAAGAATCAATAGAGCGGAAGCTTATACCTGAATCCATAGATGAAACCTGAGATGGGTTTTGGATCTTCTAATCTTAGGGTTTTCTCTAGCCGAATTTCTCTCTAGATGGGGGTGAAGAGAATTAGAGAATGTAACCCTAGATTAGGCACCATAACCCCTTATTTATAGATGTTGTACATTTGTAATTTGACCCCTCAACAAATCACAATTACAACCTGGTATCTGCACATATAACCCCATGACTTATTTAAATACTCATTAACCCAACTTGATTGATCACTTTAGTGGGTTATCCTAAAAGATAGCAATACACATTGATTAATCATATGTGCCCACAATTAGATTTATTAGATTAAATCCAACATACACTATTATCAGTTATAACCAATCAAATTATTATAACAATTATTTATGAATTATAATAAAAAATTAAAATAATAGTATAAATAGAATAATATATTAGTACTATTAAGAATTATATTATAATTTGATGAGCAATAAAATAAATAGAATAAATTTTTAATCACATAAATAGTATAATTATTTTAATAATATCACATAAATTACGAATCACACTATTTATATAGTAGTATATTATTAATAAATTAAATAAATAACTTAATATTACTTTTAGAGTGTTTTCTCAAAGATTATTATATGATACCGATATACTTGGTAATGATTAAAAACTAACCTTTTTACAAAAAATTATTTAATATTAATAATAGTACTATTAATTGTTAGTGATGGTATAATAAAAAAGTTTAGTACTAAATTATTTAAGAACATATTTAAAGAAATTAAATTAGATAAATATTTTATACTATATAGACAGTATAATTATCTAAATAGTATTACTTGAACTAAGAATTATAATATTAAATAAATTAAATTGCATTAACCCCATAAACCTTCAGCATTTTGCTGTAAATAGACCATATGAACTTTCAAAATCGCACTAAACCCCCAATAAATTTCAAAATGCTTTTTTATGCCATTTTCTGGTTCTAATTTATAGGGGTTATCTATAAAATTCAGAAAGTTATTGGGGATTTTATTTGAAACAAAAAAGTCATTAGAGGTTTAGTATCATTTTGAAAGTTCATAAGGGTTTAGTGTAATTTACCTTATTAAATAATTATAGTGAGAAGTAACAATCATAATATATTGTAAGTATTAAGTGTAACTATGTAGGAAACATCAGGGAAAACCTAGCAAGATTAATGTAGCTTAATTAATTTAGAGTCAAGTTAACACCTTTTGAATTGGAGATTAAGAGAACTTTAGAATTAACAGTTTTATTTAAGAACAATTTTAAATTTGGGGACATAATAAAAAAATGTTAACACTAAGCAATCATCATAAGAAAATCATTTAATTATAATAACTACACAATAATAATTAATTCGTACATTTCTTTTTAAGCAATCTTATTATACAATTTTATTTATAAACATATAGTTTTACTATTCAATAAAAATTCAAAACTTAAAACATGTACATTCACGTGCAAACGTGCATTACACTAGTATTACTAAAAATTTAATGAAATGAGCTTGAATTTTCTACCAAGTAAATACATGGACATGGCCTGTAAGTATTTAAACTCTGTAAATGTTGCATCGCAATCTCCGTCTCTGTATTTGGCCAATTTAACCTGCACTCACCTACAAAAGTCTTAATATCACATTTTTAAGTATTTAATAGCTTTCTAATTAGAATGTTGACCAATGCTATTATAATATTGCTCTGTTTGGTTCCTAAGTACTATAAGTAAAGTTAGAGTGAAGATAAATAAAAAGCAACACTTAAGAATATGTAAAGGGTACGTAAAGTGATATTCTTAAGAGCGAGTTATAAATGTCATACCCAAAGAGACGTTGTTAACATAATACTATTAAGGGGAAAATGCTTCCAGCTCCCAAAACCAAAAAAAACGTGCTCCCCCCTTCCCCCAAGACTTTTTTAACGGGTGTTTTGATCCAAAAATAAACTTTTTGTTCTCTGAGCCCCCAAAATACAAAACCTAAGAGATTAATATATGTGAAGACTATAATACTCTCCTCTCTCTCTCTCTCTATCATGATGTTACTGTTATGATAGTTAAAATGATTTATGGGGATTATTATTTTATTATTTTTTATTTTTTATTATTTTCGTTGTTGATGAGGGGAGCTAAGTGTTTTTGTTTGTATTGGGAGATTGTTAAGGTTTTAGGTTAATTGTTAAGGTTACGTGTCAGTTGTTAAGGTTATGGATCGGTTGTTAAGGTTACGGATCAGTTGTTAAGGTTATGGATCGATTGTTAAGGTTACCGATTTGTTGTGAAGGATACACGTTGGGATATATATGTATATATATTTTGAGTGGCATGAATACTTTGGGTCACTTGGCCTAGTGGTAAAGTTTGGGAAGTTGGACAAAAGGTTAAGGGTTCAAACCCCTACAACAACAATATATATTTAATGGTCTTTGATTGGGCTCTTTGTATTCTAAAAATATTTTTAGAATATTCGTTGTTAAAGATAATGGTTGGTTGTGAAGGTTATGCATTGGTTGTGAAGGTTAGGGTTGGTTGTTAAGGTTATGAGTTTATTGTTAATGTTACGGGTTGGTTGTGAATGTTACGGGTTGGTTTTGTAGGTTAAACTCACAACCAAAGTGTAACCTTCACAACCAACGTATATTCTTAACAATCAACCCGTAACCTTCACAACCAACCCGTAACCTTAACAACAAACTCATAACCTTAACAACCAACTCGTAACATTCACAACCAATGCATAACATTCACAACCAACTATTATCCTTAACAAGGAATATTCTAAAAATATTTTTAGAATACAAAGAGCCCAATCAAAGAACCTTAAAATATATATTGTTGTTGTAGGGGTTTGAACCCCTAACCTCTTGTCCAACCTCCCAAACTTTACCACTAGGCCAAGTGACCCAAAGTATTCATGCCACTCAAAATATATATACATATATATCCCAACGTGTATCATTCACAACAAACCGGTAACCTTAACAATCGATACATAACCTTAACAACTGACCCGTAACCTTAACAACCGATCCATAACCTTAACAACTGACACGTAACCTTAACAATTAACCCGAAACCTTAACAATTAACTCGTAACCTTAACAATCTCCCTATACAAACGAAAACACTTAGCTTCCCTCATCAACAACGAAAATAATAAAATAATAATCTCCATCAATCATTTCAAGTATCATCACAGTAACATCATGAGAAAGAGAGAGAAAGAGAGAATGGTATTATGGTCTTCACATATTTTAATCTTTTGGGTTTTGTGTTTTGGGGCTCAGAGAACAAAAAATTTATTTTTAGGGGCAAAACACCCGTTGAAAAAGTCTTGCGGGGAGCATGTTTTTTTTATTTTGTTTTGGGGGCTGGAAGTATTTTTTTTCCCCCTGTTATTAATTAATAGAGTGTATCCTACTACCCTCTCCACACGACTATTATATATATTAGATCAATGGACTGGACACCTATCTCGAGTAGACAAGTAGTTAATTTTTCTTTTCAAAAGAGAGTGATAGTTTATGTAATACTGGCAAATCCACAGTAAAGCAGTATCTTTATTTTATATATTTATTTTTTAAATTTTTTTAAATTTTTTTATTATTTTTTTAAATTTTTTTATTTTTTTTATTGTTTTTATTTTTTGTTCTTGCAGGAACATCACCTCAAATTGCCAAGAAAAAGATCATTCCCAAATTCGTTACTACTATTTGAAGGGGCATAAATAAAAAAAAGTTTCAATGGTTTTAATTTCACGTCAAGCATCAGAAACCAGCAATTACACCCGAACAAACCTTAGGCATGGTGTTGAAGAAGGCATGCTCTATGATTGCTATGATGCGTGGTCCTGTGACAAATTGTTGGGAGCCACATTTATTTTATTTCATTTTATTTATTATTGGTTTCCTTGGCCATACTTGTTCTGAATATGGTCTCAAATTTGCACAATGAGCAACAATCTGCAATCAATTATTGCAGTTGAGATTCAACGCCTTGATTCAGTCCAGAGGATGAACATATGATATTACATCAATATTACATATTAACATCAGGTGTTAAGATCCAACCATAACATTAAAACTCTAATAAAACACAAATACCAGGCAAAAAAAATATAGTTTTAAGAGTACAAGGTTGGCAAATCCGTAAGTTTTCACGCAAGGCTTGCTCAGGTACCCCCCATTATGGAACAAAACTTCATCATGCATATTTCTTAATTATTTCATTCCATCCTCAAGTGACAAGGGAAACCCTGCACATTTTATTCCAGTTCCAAGAGAGAAAATTGCATAACCAGTTACAATCTAATGGACAACACCATAGGCTAAAATCTCATAATTTAAAATTAATCACTTGCTTTTACCATGATCGAAAACAAGGGGAAACATGCCCAGTATTACAACTTACAGCAAAATTCTACAGTCGATAAAAGTAAACTGTGACATACAGTTCTTTCTTCCAGATGCCATTTTCTAATTCCGGTGGCTTGTTGAACAATTCTATGTGTGAAGAGTTTCAGTGTGCTAATGATCAACAATTTCTTCATACTGAATTTCTTCAGAGGTAACCTTCACATCGTCTACATCATCCCCGACATGATGAGTTGTTGCCTCATTTGTTGTACCTTCAGGCCTGCTGCTTTCAAATGTAGGATGACCTGATTCTGTTGCATTACCTGCCATAGTTTTGTCCATCATCCCTGATATTGCTAATGTGGGGGACCACTCAAGCACATCATCAATAATGTTTGAAACTCTCTTTTGATACCTGCAAAAGGAGCACAAATTAACACCATAATACATAAATACTATTGGGTTTTTTGGTTACATGCCCCCAAATTATCAATATTTTTTAAGGACCACCCTTCAACCATTTACTACTTTACGTCGTTTGGTTTGGAGGTAGAAACATCCAAGTTTAAGATTTGGGGGCATTTTAATATATATCAAGATTTGGGGGTAACGTAATAACTATTGATGATTTGGTAGGCATGTAGCCCAAAAACCAATATTTTATTACAGAAACAAAAGAAGCTCAGATTGGGATTCATAACATACCTTGCCCTAGCAGCCTCATCAGGGGCATGGTGCCGAAGCAACAGAATGACCAGTAAAGTAACAGCGGCATAAAAGAGCCTTGATGTCCACTTGGGTGGTTCACCTTCGTCTTTCTTGGGCCAGAACCGGATCAGCTCCCTAAATGTTGTTTCTTCAGCATTGATATTGGGGAAGAACCAAATACGTTTTCCAAGAAGCATCCATAGTGCACCGAAAATTGCACCTCTAACTGCAGGTTAATGAGAAAGGTGAAAGGACTTCAGAGAAAAGGCCTGATTTCTTTTGCCTCCGGAAAATAAGACCAATCCCAACTTTAATAACCATGATTGAAAATGAGAGGACAAGAGAAACTTTTGAGTATCAAGTTCTAGCAGATTTTGTTATCATTGCGTCATGGTACAAACATCAGTCACTGATAGAAGTGTGTATGCTATAAATGTTAACATTTCTTTCAACTCCAGTACTTTCATCCTCCTGAGTTCTGTACTAATCCGTCTATGATACACAAGTCAAGCCTTCTTAACCTAGATCTCATCTTATCCACAACTGAAGCTACCTCTCAGCTTTTAATGAATGTACCAATACTTCTTTGAGATAATGGTGTTAATTTCATCACAACACTTGAACTTCAGCTACAATCATTTTCATGTGAATTGTCAAAACATTAAAAGGAAACTGAAAACTATAGCACCTTTCTCCTGGCTTGGATTGGATTTATGCCACATTTTACTGATTTCTACCAACTATTGATAAAAAAGCCGATGACACGATTAGGAAAAACCCAGTAAAAACCCATATGATAAATACAGTCATAGAATGCAATAAGCAGAATGGATATATGCATTGATTGTCCTGATGTACATTACCCAAACTGCTGGAATCATGGAATAGAGGATTCACCCCTGTGCAGTTAATGCTAAATTTTGTAACATAAAGTAGTTAAACTGGAATTATTCTAGAATTTAACAGTTCCATTTGGGAGAATAAAGGGTGAACCATTGAATGGAGGATTACCCCTGTGTACTTAATGCCAAATTTTGTAACTTAAACTGGTTAAACTGAAATTATTCTAGAATTTAACATTTCCATTTGGGAGAATAAAGGGTGAACCATTGATTACCAGAGCACTAAAAAGAGATGGAGAAGAGAGACTGTTGTGTGTGTGTGTGTGGGGGGGGGGGGGGGGGGGGCACGAGTGTGCGTTTAAGGTCAATGGAAATTTAACAATATTATAAGAGTGTTAATAACACAGAAGCAGCTCTGAGAAAAGGCTTCAAAGTTCAAAACTTATCATCAACTCATGGAAAGAAGAAACCTATTAAGTTTTTCATACTATATAATTACGTATATGTGTGCGCGTGTGTCGTGCCATGATGTTCATATAGTGCTACAAAATCAAGATCTCAAATAGGAAAGACCAGTTCTCGTATTAACTATAATGCTGACTTGCCAATGTAAGATAAGATAACCAATATATACTAAAACGGAAAGAGAGTGTTTATAATATCAGTAAACTTACTTAAGAGCAGTGTTGCTATAAAAAGTAGAGCTCCAGCGCATGAGTAGAGAACAACAATCTTGACCTGGTACGGGTACACTGGAAACAAGCACACTGCTAATGCTGCCACTGGCCAGAGGAACGAAAGAATTGTTTGCCATAATGCACGTCTTTTCATAAAAGCCCACGCAAAGAAAGCGTCGTTTTCAGAGAAAACTTGCTCCTGCAGACATCATGCAAGCAGAGAATGAATACTACAACATACCATGCAAAGATTTAGCTTAATAATAAACGTGAAACACTGTAAGGTTTTCTTAGGTGCAAATAAATTTAGAGAATCAGATAAAAGGAAATTATTGGCTCACTAAAACAAAAGGAAAATAGTAAATGCAGACGTGAAATTAACATTTGTCTAAGAAAAGCTTTGGTGCTTCAAGAGATGCAAGTATCTTACTCCATGTAAATTAGGAATATGTTTTCATTTTGTACCATGTTCATTATTGGCTAAAAGATGGATAAAAAACAAGCTAAATTATATAGATAAAACACCAGATATCCTGCAAATAAACAACCACCTTGGTGGGCATCAAAAAGTGCAAATACTGACCATATATATTGCAGAAAGCTTTCAGTATGAGCCCAGTGATCCCAAGACCAATTGGTACATAGAAGACTCGCACGAATGCACCAAAACCATGGTAACCATAGTTTCATATTACGCATGGTCAGAAAGGATATGTTTCAAGCAAAACAAATTTATTTGCTGCTTCAAACCCTAAAGGAAGTTAATGTGCAGATGTTAGAAAGCATGGAATACATTAGAACATCATCAAGTTTGTTAATTTTTCTAATCCTGTTTTCTTTTAAGAAAAGACAGTGAAAGGAAAAAAGAACACCCCACACATACATGTTAAAGCTAGAAAAACTTTTGATGGTGTTACTTAACATGAAAGTGCTGTTACAAAATAATTTGACTAACAATCCTTATCAATTGAATGAAACACAACCCAGGTTGGTGGTCGAGACAAAAACATAAGCTACTTAACAGCCGACTATGATTAGAGGATGCAGATGCAAGTGTCAAGCTTTGAGACACATACAAAATGTCACGCTCAAACACATACGTGAGGTGTTGGGCTCCGGCAATGAGAATCAAAAATCTAGAGAAGATGATAGATACGGCCATGCATATTTCATCTAAATATATACATATCTGGCTTCTGTTAATACATGTATTAGTTTCCATTCATTTATTAAAGAATTTAATTATTCATAAAATATTTCATTTTTGTCAGAAGCATGTTGTATCCCGTCATGTATACAATATTGAGGTAACCAATGTTACATTAAACGCTGGGCGCTTCTAGGCGTCAGACTTGGCGCCTAGCGCTTAGTCGCCTAGGCGGGCGCCTAAGCGGTTTCTGGACGTTTTTTTTCTTTCTCCATTTAAGTGGTGGTCGATAAGGTTTTGTTGAAGGTCGGAGGAGGTAGTGAAGATGTTCATATTTGGAGGTTAATGGAGTTTGGAGGACGTGTAGGCTACGACACATAAAATCACAATCAAGGCCTACATGATGCAATCCACGTAAGCAGACAATGCTCCCCTAAACGCTCGTAAAATCTAGGTGGGCAGCCTAAATACCGCCTAGGCACTAGGCGCTAGTTAGACGGTCTAGGTACCGCCTAGGCCTAGGCGTACGCCTAAGTGGACTAGGCGGAGGTTTTTTAAAACAGTGGAGGTAACTAACAGCTTATAAATTTCTACATGTTGGACACAGATGGAAAAAAATGTTGTGATACAAGTGTGTTGAACACAAATTTTGTTAGGTGAAACCATCCTACCCAAAAGGCTTAATTGACAAGAGTTATTCCTTCTGATCCAGAAATTTCAATTCCACAAATATGAAATCTTAGTAAGTGTTCACCTTACTCTAAAATATCATTTCAGAATATAAAATTATAACACGCAACACTCACCACAATATAAGAGTTTTGATATAGTAGAAGGGGCTCTAATATGGCATGAAAGTATCTCGGGTTCAAAGCCCACTGGACATGCATCTAAACTGGATTTAAAAAAGGTATCACCACCCAAAATAGCACAGATTTTACTCCATGAAGAGCACAGTCGCCCAGTGAGGGGTGTTAGAGTACAAAATTATAAACTCAATGCTCATTACAACTTCAGACTTGTCGTGTAACAGAAGGATTTTAAGATCAGTTAACATCAAGTTTAAGATCATTGAACATCAACTTTTTTCTTAACCACAAATTCTAAAGTGCCAGAGTAATTTTAGAAGTACTTTCGCATGTTGCAACGCACAACCAGAAGCTAAAAGCCAATATAACATTTTCTACTAGAAAGGATGGTGAAGTTGACTAAGAAGTAACAAGATAAGGACAAGTTCTTCACCAATTAGAGTAGAGTTGCACCAAGAACTAAGAATTTGAGACAGAACAAAAGGATGGCAATTGAAGAAAGAAATAAGGTAGATGGATCACTAGTAGAAAAGAAGGTATAGTCACCTTATTCCTTATGTTAACATGGGCATCAAAATATTGAATCCCTTTATAATAAGATGTTACCAGTTGTCCGTTCGATAGCAGTGTCTCAAGCAGGAAGACTCTGAATTTGATGCCTCAAAATATCTCCAAATACTGACTACAGACATCAACAAGTACATGATTCTCCTTATCCCAACTTCAAACATTACTTTACACTAGAATATGTGGCTCAAAACAGAACTTCCCAAAGTTACCATATTCTTATGACACTATACATCATACAGATATCTTTATCTTCAGCAGTCAGATTTTTTGGTTATGGTAGTGCTTTTCAAGGGGAAAGGCATGAGAATAAACAAAGAAAGCAAGTTTATGTTTTATAGGAACAGTAGCTAGAAGGTAAGATAACAAAATAATGGGTACCTTTTGTGGATAGCATCAATATCTTATAACAATATGTCTATTCCACAATATGTGGTTATAATAACCACTAAACAATCTCCCCCGACTAATATTGGTTCTTGCTACTATTGATATATATAAGAACAAGTATAGAAGCAATTATAAGTACAATGTTGGTGCAGCTGGCATTGCCAATAACTAGTGGATAGTTATTAGTTGAACTGTGGAAAATAAAATATTTATTTTCATGAGATAATTTATACCATACTATTTAAGTTTCATCTTAGGTGTTTCATGTCTTTTATGATACAAAGTTAATAGATATAAAGATGGGAATATGTGCATATAAGCTTACCCAGCATGAAACAAATACCATCCAGACATCACAGAAACAGGAGAACATAATTAAAAAAAATGCACGATGTTAAAAAGGAAATAATTGAATTGCATATGCTGTCCTTTCTGGGAAGCAGTCATCTTTTGTTGCACGTGTTTTTAATGCATGTTAACTAGGAAGTGATATGAACATGCAGTGATAATGTAACTTCACAAATATAACTTATAAGACTAAAAAAACCTAACAAAACTAAAGGTTCTGTAATAAACAATTGTCAACTGGAATCTTTTTTCATGGTAACAGTTTAGTATCATATTATATATGAAACTATACAACAAGTTTACAGGCTGAATCAGCATATCTAACGCTGCCTAGATATACAACTCTAATAATGATGTATTGTGGAATTAACAATCCAAGGAAAAATAGAATGACAAAATAAAACCAGTCACATGCTTCTCTAGGGATAAGAAAAAGGTACTTACATGATATATCTCCAAATGTGCAGGCCAAGAGGACAACTTCTTCTTCCCAGGTCTAACAGTTTTCATCACACGGTCACATCTTACTATAAGATTCTTCCTGAGCAAAGTATTCACAATATCTTCTGTATCCAAATCTTTATCTGCTCCTAGTATTTCTTTAAGCTCAGGATGATTTCTTAAGAAAACTGTGACGTCCTTCCCTCTAAAATATTCAACCCTTGCTTCTTGCATAATGGCCCATCTAGATTCCAGTTGCTTATTGTCTCGAACCTTCTCAGCAAACACCTGATATACATCTTTCTGCCCAGCTGATTTCTGCAGGTACCACATAACTTTTAGGGATCAAGATAAAATGCGCAGTTAAGTTACAGGTAAGGATCAATAAACGCAACAGTCCCACAAAACAGTATGCAACAGTTCCACAAAAGAGCTAAGGATGTCTAAGAGTAGAGACTACAGGCTGCATGTTATGACCAAACCATGAAAAGGAAAAAAGGAAAACTTATATCACCATATTTGATTATTTACAATAAACGGTTCCTATATATCTGGAACTGGCATTAAAAGTTCCCAACATCCAATAAGGTGGTCGAGATCTAAAAATACAATTAAAAATTTTGAAGATGGTGCGCTGCTCAGAACTAATCAAACAGTCTCCAGGTCATGCAGTAAAGGTAGTAGTGACCAATGGTAAGGGAAGAAAGTTCTATGAATAGTAGAGGGGTTAGGGGATTGACCCAGAAGTTATCCTATGAAATTTGAAGCATTTAAATATAATATTTTGGGAAACAGATAATGGACTTTTATGTTTGGAAAGATGATGAAGTTGTTCGAATACATTATTCCTACTCTTTGTTTTCCCTCTATAACTCCAATTTACTACTCCACCTGAAAATGAGTATTAGCTCTTAATCCAGTTATACATGCTGGTTAACAGAATTCTTTTAACCGGTCTTAAATTCTAATAACTTTAAACTAAAAAGTACCTAAATTCATTTACCAAAAAAACTGTTTGGCAATGTAAACTCTGGTTAAAGCCCCTTAAACAATTATTTAACCCATTGTCAAACATCTGTTTGCCATTACCAACCATGAAGTCCATTGGAACTAAAGTATGTGAAACCTCCTTGAGCAAAATAAATAGGGCATAATGGAACTTGCCTTTAACGTACCTTAACTTCTAAATGCTGACTCAAATTACCAAAATTTATTTTAATTGGCAAAATAAACTAGGGTTAAAGCTCCTCAAACAGTTACTTACACCACTGTGAAACATAAACTAGCTACGATCAGCCATGGAGTAGAGATCAGAATGAAAGCTTTTCCCAGGTCAAAAACCAATGGGATTATTTCCTTCCATTTCCCATGGCCTCATGACAGAAGAGAGAATATAAGAAACAAACTAGAACAAAAGAAATATATGAGAAATAAAGCTTTCTGGCCCTGCAATTGGTTTAGAGAATGCCTGATAAGCCGCAGCAACTGAAAACTGTGACTAGTAATGAACCCTTTAATTATGCATGATAGAAGAAATGGAAGGCAAATAAACAAGGATTTGGATCGTAAAATTTCAGAATTAAAAGCACAAAGAAAACAAGCATGATTTAAGTTAATATATAGTCTTACCCCATAAGGCGCACATAAAAATTCCACCTTTATACTGTGAGGAGCACCAATAAAACTTTTCTCTGACACCCACAAACTTGTTCTTAGAATAATTACCAATTTGGGTAACAATCTTCATTTAAAAACCATATTCTACTAATAGAAATGGGTTTGTAGGGTTTCAATCAACAAATTCCCTCCCATTCAATCCCAAACATATAGACACTCCTATCCACATTTTCAAAAGATCAAAGTACCACAAAACGAGCCATGAAGAAATTGATGCTGAACCCCTAAATTTTGTTCCAAAAAGAAAAACATTTAACCCCAACAAACTTTTAGCTAAATATTACCAGATTTGGCTTTAATCATACCCGGCACACCAAAAAAACAAAAAAAAAACAAAAATCACATTTTGGATCTACAAATGGGCTCTTAGGGTTTTAATCCACAACGTCCCTCTCATTGAATTCCAAACATATTAAAAAAACTCTTTGATCCCGAGATACGACGAACAATCCTGAAGAATTGAGACTAAACCCTAAATTGATCCCAAAATGAAAGGCGAAAAAAATTCACAGAAATTGATCGAACCTTTGACGAGGAATTGGAATCAGATAGATCCCTACTGCTGCCGCCATTATTCTGAGGGGCTCGGCGGATCCTCTTCTTCTCCGTCGACTGCTGCCGCCATTATTCTGAGGGGCTCGGCGGATCCTCTTCTTCTCCGTCGCCGATTTAGTCATTTGAATCGTTTTTATTTTATTTTTTATGTTTCTCCTTTGTTTTCACTTCGGACCCATTTTCTCCCCCTTTATTGTGTGAAATTTAGCTTCTTGTCTGCAACTGCTACGGAAAGGAAGAGTTAAGTAGCTACCGCTCTGTAAAATTTTCAGGATAAAAGCGCCATTTGGGCATGGGCTGGCCCGGCTCAAGCCGTATTTAACGTAACCGGCCCGGATCAAATTGGGTCGGGCCAATTCTAGCCTAGTATTCATCCAAGTCGTGGGCCGGGCTGGGTGAAGTTCTAAATAAGAGAACATTTGGTTTGGCTCTACACGAATTAAGCTCAGCCCTAATGAGTCTTGCTCCGTGTATGTCCAACCCCGGGCCGTTATTTTTCCTTTTTTTTTAGCCTGCTAACAGTAAGCTAGCAATTGATAGACGGGCTACTATCAACAGGCCAGTAAAACCGAAGGTCTTTAGACTTTTGGCCCATGGGCAAACAATAGCTTTAGCTCGCTGCTATTTGCTTGTAGGGATTCCTACAAATAGACAATAGGCCTCGGACCACAAGCTCGCATGAGTTTTTAATTCTTTTTTTTCCTAAAAGACATGAACCATTTGGCTCTTTTCTTTGTTAAAAAAAAGAGCCATTTGGCTTACGCTTTTTAGCAATAGAAGCTAGTTAATAAATGATAGGGGATAAATAAAATAAATTTGTAAGTACACAACTATCAAGTTATAGTATAGAAAGATGTCGATCCCTCGAGAAATGTGTGTAGAAAAAACTCTAAAATAGTTCCTTAAAGTTGTGTGTGTGGACAATTAGGAGTAAATAGTGTAAGTGTGGAGAGATATAAGGAAAGTGTGTGACTATTTTAAATAAAAGAAAACTAGAACAAGAGGGGAGAAAGAGAGTGATCTAATAAAACAAGAAAATTTAAGAAGAAAATTCAAAACGAGGAAAAAGGAAAAGGGAACAAAGAGGAAAAAAAGAACTAAAAGTAAAAATAAAATAAGAAAAGAGGAATCAAGTGAGAAATCAATATAAAAAGGTGAAAAAATCAAGTGGATAATATATGAATCTAAAGTTAAATCCACTAGTTTGTTTTATTTAAAATTTATGAACTATTCTCTTTTTATCATATTTTACTTTAGATTTACTAAGTATAGACTATCAAACCACTTAACGAAAATATAACCTATCAATTTATCATTCAAACAAAATTAATATTCATCTAAAGAATAACAATTAGATAGTAATTCTAAAATTCATAAGCATAACCTATCAAATCATTCAAGATAAACAAGATTATCAAATTCTTCTTCAACCAATTAGTTTTCTAATTGATTACCCTAAACATGATAATTTTAAGTACAAGAGAGCAATCTATAAATCATAAAAGAAACAAACTGGTTTCATACAATTCTAGAACTCCTACAAGAGTTTAGTTGCATATTTTGGAAAATAAAAACCAAGAGATGATCTAGACTAGAGAGCATGAAAGAAGGAGAATAAAAATACAAGAAAAATAAAAAGTAATTATAAAAATAAGAACAATGATAAGAAAATAAAGATCTAAACTATGAGCATAAAAGTAAATCTAAACTACAAAAATAGAAATGCAATAAAGTAAATTTATACTACAAAATAAAAAAATAAAAAAATAAAAGAACATGAAAGTGAATCTACTATACAAGGCATCAAAATAAATCTAATCTACTAAAATAAAAATAAAATAAAATCGTAAAACATGAATATCTAAAGTAAGAAAATAAAAGAAAAAAAACTTACATTACAAAGGGGTTGGCCCCTTAAAAGTAAATCTCCATCTTCATCTTCATCAATCAATAAAGAGAAGAAAAAAATTAAAAGAGGTAATTTTTTTTATTAATTGCAAATAAAGTTTGTAATTTTTCAAAGTCTTATAAATTAAGAGTAACTCTTCTCTCTAGATGGAGTTTTACAAAACTTTTCACACTTAAACCCATTACCCTCTACCCCTATTTATAGCCTATATCAATAAACAAGAACCTATGGATTTAGCTTGAGGAAGAAGGATTAAATCTCAACCATAAACTGATTTAGTTACGAACCAATTGTTAGACTAATCATTTGACTGACCGATTGGTCAATCAGTTGGTCAATCGATTGGTTTGTAACCTATTTGTAATTTTTGTTGACTTCTAGGCACGATTTCTTTTTGGTCCTTGTGCTTTTTTGGGCCTCCTTTTGACTTCATATTGGGCTTCATTAGATTGTAGAAATTAAGAAAATTTGACTCTTTTGGTCTCTTATTCATTAACTCTTCATTATCCTGTAAATTAAGATAAAACAAGTTATTAATAATATTTTATTCAAATAAGATAGATAATGATGGTGTAAAAATATAATAATATGTGATGATCAAATATCCTCACACCTAAACTTTTACTAGTCCTCTAGCTAAGGAAAAAGAAAAAATTCTAACTCACTTTCACAAGAATCGCGATTGTATTTAGTGCGTACAATAAATTTTAAACTCATAGGTTATCCTAGAGGATGAGTTATAGTCTCGTGAGGGTTTGTAATAAATATACCCATAAAATTAGATCAACTTGCCAATTTAAAAAAGTAAATGAATAATTAATTCACTTGATGCCTTTAAACAATCTAGTTATAGCTAGTTTTTACTCAGAAAAATGTTTTTATGTATAAATCTAAAGTAAACCTCTTAGAATTTTTTTTCATTTTAGTTATAAACTAAGTTTAACTTATAAATTTAATTAAAGTTTGGAAAAGAACATGACAACTCTTTGTTTTAAATAATTTTCAAGTCTATTGATTAATTTATTTTCTAAAAAAATCTACAAATATAACTTATATATATATATATATATAATATATATATATATATATATATGAGAAAAATGGGTATGCTCGGATCAAGTACAAGTTTTTGTGCTTGGTAGTGAGGTGGTATATTCTCCTCCACTCATTGAAATTGGAGCCCATATTCACATGGGTTGGAGAGTGGTTAGGAATGGAATGCAGTGGATGGAATAGGACAGCCTCACTACTAAGCATAAAATTTATCATTGGTACCAAGCATACTCATTCTCTCCTCCCCCCTATATCTCTCATATATATATATATATAATATATATATATATATATATATATATATATATATTATATTATATAATATATATAATTGTTAACATATAATTTTTTAACAACTCTTGGCTTGATTTTTTTTTCCACTTTATCAAGCATGTTACGTGACCATTTAACGAATTTTGGACCAATGCATCCCAACCTAATTGAGCATAGGTTGTTAAGTATGGAAATACTCCTCAGGTTTAATCACTCGGTCAACTTATGCTTAGTAAGATAGAACTATCTTGGATTTCAAGAGAATTTTATATTGGTGCCCATTATTCGCACTCTTCTTTTGCAAAGTTAGTTTATTTTAATATATACTTGTGTATATGTGTGTGTGTGTATTTCTTGAAAAATATTTAGATCAAGATGACCTAAAAAAATATTTTCTACTCTAAGCTAAGCATGTAAAAATTTTATTACTTGCTACTTTAAAAATTATTTCTTAAGGAATTTATTTTGAGTTATCATAAAAGGTTAACTTGAATATAAAAATAAGAATTAGAAATTTTAAAATTTATCAAGTACATCAATTATTAATTAACTCTATTAAGTTGGTAAGTGACAAATATTTTTAGGAAAGAAAAGAAAATTGAAAAAATGACATAGAAAGAAGAGAAAAATAGTAAAATAAAGAGGAAAAATGATTAGTCCCCACCCGCACACCTAAATTTTGCATTGTCATCAATGCATACTCTATGATGAACAAAATAAAACATATAAGAAATAAAGCACTTATATTTGTCCAGTCGACCTAGAACAATGATGAAATAATAAAAATCTGTAATTACCTTTAGTATGAGGAGGATGAAGTCAAAATTTTATTTTTCTCTCTTTTTATCATTTTTCATCTTTTTATATCTTTTTTTAATTTTTTATTCTTTTTTTAAAAAGAACAATAAACTCTCAAATGAGAGAAGAATAAATTCTTTTTATTATTCTTATTATTATTAGACAAAAAGTAAATATGTACAATAAAAGATTGATCAGGAAAATCTCACACTCTATATCGATTTCTACCTTGCACCTAAAAGTTCTACCCTATATTTTAAAGAAGTATAGAATATAAACTCAGTACTATGCTTTAATTTTGTACACTCCGAGATTTCCAATAATTTTTGTAGCATTTGAAGGTATGTATGAAGGGGGTTATGCATTTTGAATTTTTAATGTTAATCGGATAGAAAGCAAGTCTTAGATTTAAACTCAAGGTGCTCATGAATGAAAGTTTGTCTTAACACAACCAGTTCTGTTTTAAAATTTTCCTCAAATCTAATATTCATAGTTGAGGTATGACAAATGGGCTGTTCTCTATTTTATAAGAATCTAATCTTATCTGCAAAAAGTTCTTCAAATTTAAGATTAGAAGAATTTGTGTCTGACTCCGTGAAAACTAGTTTTGATTCAAACTCCTCAAGTATCCTGATTTCCTCACCAAAGATTATCTCAAAACTCAAATCTTTCTCATTTTCATCTCCTAATTCTTCACTTCAAATTTCCTTGATATAGTTTACTTTAGTCGGGTGGGTTCCTAGATTGAAAATATTGATATCAACAGTCATGTTCTCAAAGGACAGCTTCATTTGACCAGTTCTATAATTGATCAAAGCATTAGAAGTAGCTAACAATAGTATTTCTAAAATGATAGGTACTTGACTTTTGAGATTGGAAATGGGCTCGGGGACTGGTCATTTTTCCTCTTATTTTAGTATTTGTTTCTCTACTTTCTATGTCATTTTTTCCTTTTCTTTTCTTTCCTAAAAAAATTGTCACTTACCAACTTAAAAGAGTTAATCAATAATTAATCTACTTGATAAAATTTAAATTTTCTAATTCTTAGTTAGTTTTATATTCAACTTAATCTTTTATGATAACTCTAAATAAATTCCTTAAGAAATAATTTTCAAAGTAGTATATTTTACTTTAGTCCAACTTAGGCTTCTAATTAAAGTAAAGAAATTTTTGCATATTTAGCTTAGAGTAGAAAATAATTTTTTAAGTCGTCTTGATCTAAATATTTTTCAATACACACACACACACACACACACACACACACATTAAAAACCCTACTTTACAAAAGAAGAGTGCAAAAAATGGACAACACACACACATATTAAAAAACCTACTTTGCAAAAGAGGAGTGTGAAAAATGGACACTAATAAAAATTCACTTAAAATCCAAGGTGGTTCTATCTTTCTATGTCTAAGTTGACTGAGCAATTAAGTCTGGGGAGTATTTTAATGCTTAATAACTTAAGCTCAATTAGGCTGGGATTCATTAGCCCAAAACTCGTTAAACGATCACTTAGAAAGATTGATAAAGTAGAACAAGATAACCAAGGAATAAAGAGAGTATTTTATATATATATTAATATATATATATATATATATAATATATATATATATATATATTAGAGAGAGAGAGAGAGAGAGAGAGAGAGAAACTTATGTCACTTAAGTGGACGTCCACTAAGTTTCTTAGTCATTGATGATCACTTGATTGAGCTACATTATGGTATCCGCTCTATTGAACTTGATCTACATATTCTAAAACCTAACACACTAAATTTGGGGTGAACCTGTCGTAGTTTGACCCTCCATCGAGGCCATGTAAAAAGTTCTATTCATTCGAAACCGTTAAAATTGATACGAGTGGATGAAGAGTCAAACCACGACGGGTTGCACCCCAAATTTGGTGTGTTAGGTTTAGAATATGTAGATCAATTTAACGGAACGGGTCATCCATATATGTAGGCTCAATTAAGTGACATTAATGACTAAGAAACTTAGTGGACGTCCACTTAAGTTGACATAAGTTTCTCTCTCTCTCTCTCTCTCTTCTCTCTCTCTCTCTATATATATATATATATATAAATATATATATATATATATATATATATATATATATATATATATATTATATATATATATATAATATATATATATATATATATATATATATATATATATATATATATATATATATATATACTATATATATATGAGAAAACTGTAGGAGCGCTGGCCAGTTCTCGTAATCGTGCGCTGCCTGGGTTTTTTTGAAAAAAACAACGCGTTTCTCAAGAAAAGAGATCAAAACCACTGCCCCCTCTCAGATCCCTCTTCCTCCCAAAATTGGCCAGCTTCCCCCAATTCTCAGCCTACTCCATTCTCCCAACGTCGATCTCTCTCAGATCCCCGACTACGAAGCCTCGCTCGAGCACTCGATCGCCGCCCCCTCTCAGATCCCCGACCGAGCAGCGCACAGCACCGACGGCGAGACCTTCTCCGGCGCTCGTGACCCCCTCTCTCACTCCGACGCTCGTGACCCTTGACCGTGCAGCGCACAACACCGACGGCGAGACCTTCTCCGGCGCTTGTGACCCCAGACCGAGCAGCGCACAGCCCATTCTCCGTCGCTCGTGACCCCAGACCGAGCGAAACACCGCCTCCTCCATTTCCCTCTCAGAGGTATTATCCCGCCTCCCCCATTTCCCTCTCCAAAATCCTAGCTCTCTTCTTCCTAAATCCACAAATTTTGGGTCAAATCTTAGTCCTAAGATGGTGAATGGCTAGGATTTTTGCTATAACTTCAGTTTGGAAGATGATTTGAATGTGGAAGAGTTCGTTTTGGGTGAAATTGATTTTAGGGCTTCCGTTCGTTCGGTGATCGTGGAAGAGTTCATTTTGGGTGAAATTGATTTTAGGGCTTCTGTTCGTTTGGTGCTATAACTTCAGTTTGGAAGTTGGGTGAAATCAGATTCCTGGTTGTTGCTTGCTTGATTGCTTCTAGGGGATTGTTGGTTGCTTGCTAGTTTAGTATTTGAGCTTGGTGGTTGCTTGTTGTTGCTTGTTGTTTGTCGATTTCAGCTTCTTACTTGCTGGTTTAGTATTTGAGTTGTCTTCTCCGGCGCTCGTTACCCCAGACCGAGCAGCACACAGCCACCGCCACGATCCCATTCTCCGTCGCTCGTGACCCGAGACCGAGCGAAACACCGCACCGCCACGAGATCTTGATGTGAGTCTTTACAATTTCTGTTGTGCACTAAATCCTGATGTGAGTCTTTACAATTTCATAAGCCTTGTCGATGATTGCTTTGACTGACTCATCACTACATCACTGCTTTGTACTGGACATTGAGTTTCTTGCAAGCATTCTCATCACTACATCACTGCTTTGTACTGCTGGATCCATCAATGCCCACGGGCCAATCTCAGACATTCCAAACATTGTCACCATCTGATTCAATGGTTAAAAGATAACAATAAGAAAACAAAAATTTTGAGAATTATAATGAACGTTAGCTTTAAAGATTTAGCATTGAAATGCTACTCAATCAACTAAAGTTTGAGAATTTGCTTGATGTTAATATACTACAAGAGGTGAAGAATGTTTGGGTCTAGCCCTGATTGTGTAGTATGTTATTGTAAAAAAATTTATAGTATGTGGATTATTGGGGTCTAGCCCTGTTTGGGTCCTGCAATCAAACCCGCTCGCGCAAACACCCGTCATACATATGCTTCATTCTCAAGATTTTCAGAGTATGACAAAGAGTGTCAATTTATGTGTCAATTGCAGTGAATACATTCATTTGCTTTCTTATCGACATTCCTTTGTTTTCTTATCTGGCATTGGTATATAAATTTCAGATAATGCTACACTATACATAGAACTGCATCTTGAACATTTGCTTGTCTTTTTTCCATTGATAATCTATTTTCAATGCACAAATTTGCAGGTGATATAATGGCAAGAAAGAGTTTTTATGTTGTAAAGAGAGGTCGACGTTGTGGGGCAAGAAAGAGTTTTTATGTTGTAAAGAGAGGTCGACGTTGTGGTATTTTTTATAATTGGGAGGAATGTTTTTCTCAAGTTGATAGATTCCCAAATGCCTCCTACAAAGGGTATGCAACGTATGAAGAGGCTTTGAGTGAATGGGAGAAGCACTTAAGCGCGCGTGATTCATCATCCAGCTCAAGGCATATGCAGCCACATGTTTGTGTTCAAGAACAAATGTTTCCAGAGGGGCATAATCTTCTTGAGGACAAGGGAACACCTAGGGAAACTGCTATTAAGTACATCTTTGCTTTTGTATTAGGATCAATGTTTACAATTTTAATATTTCTAGTATATATCGTTGCAGTATTTGTTGGTTTATCTATTAGGGGAAACATGTGATGTTATTCGTGTATGATTCTTCAATGTGAGGATAAGCTTGCACAACTTGGGAAATTGAAATGTTTTATCTGGTTATATATGTAGTGTAGAAAAATGGTAGTTATATAATGAAGGAGGTCAGGAGGAGGCTCAATTTGTTTGTTGCGGTGGTATATAATGCAAAGTTGTAAACAATCAAGTAACTAGCTGTAGGCTTCCTGTGCTTGTACTCATTATTCATATAAAAATGTTTAATATTTTTTCAAAATTTGTTACTAGGCAGCAGCTTTGGCTCTTCGCAAAGTTCCAGCATGTAACAGCTCCTGGATGGATGATTTTATTCGCCATATGCAGCTTTAGGTCTTCGCAAATTTTTATTACTATGGAATGTAGCTATGCAGCTTTAGCTCATATGCTTCAAAGCCCAGAAAATAAAGCACGACGCCCCTGTGTAAAGACATGTAAATTGCTTGCTGATGCACCAAATAAAATCCTAATTCAAATTTACTTATCCAATAACTCATATGAATAAACATGTATCTTGAGCAAGTTCTAAATTCATTACACAACACCATTCAGTATTTGTCTCAATCAACATAGAACAAGGAAATGAGCAGCCAGTGCACTAACTGGGGCACTTGTTCTCACAAGTGAAGCAATTGGTCTATATAATGATACATTCTGAAATGATACATTCTGAGCTTATCAAATACAACCAACCCATTGGAATTGCTTTAATACTTAGGGCCAGCATTCCCCCCATCTGTATTCAAAACCGAAATCAACATTTGGAAGCATAATCAAAGTGCTCAACAAACAAAATGCACTTCATACCCAGCTTGCAATCTACCCAGCTTGCAGATATCGATGATTGCTCTTACCTATAAAAATGAAAATAGAACGTCAAGACAGTAGGATAACTAACTCAATATGCTATTATGACTGTCAAAGGGCAAGTTCAAAATAGGAAATCTATATGCTATCAAGACAATAGGTTAGACTGGTCTTATTTTGAGATTAATCATAACACAAGAGAGCAATAAATGGAAGCATATACTATATTTGAAATTAGTGAGTGCAAGTTTGAAATTAGAACAACTGCAGAAAATGATATAGGCCAAGTATGAAAATAAAGAAATTTTACCTTGGCAAATTAACTTTACAGCTAATTCTATAATGCCCGAGTTCACCACATCTGCTACATATACGCTTCTTCCTCTCTCTTTTTTCTTGTGCTTGTTCTAAGCCTGACTGAATTCTAGTAGCATTGTGTGGCCGACCTTTAGTCCTTACAGATTTTTCAGGATCACGAACTGTATTCTGAGGAATGTGCTCCATTGTATGTGAAACGGATGCTGAAATCTGAGGATTATCTTCTGTTTCTCTAACTTCTTCTTCAAGTGATTCTATGAATTTTGTTAACACATTATCTAATTTCTGCATCCTCTCTTCTGAATCAAATGCAAGCTCGAGCGCATTATTGAATTTTGCTCTTAAAGCCCAAGATTTCAACAAATTAATCTTCTCTTCACAGCTTGTGAGGTTTCTTCCAAATACAATATTGCCAACCCCCCAATGTTGATGTCGAGCATGTATAGTCCAACGGTGTAGGATGTAATGATCAGGTAATGAAGAAATTTGCATAGCCATCATTAGTGATAATATATGTCTACATACAACACCATTAGTTTCAAACAAAGCACAAGTACAAATGAATTGCATCTTACTGGATTGTTTATAAGTAACCACCTCCCATTTTCCTCTATCTGCAAACTTACAAATCTTGTATTCAACAATGTCCCCATCTTTTCTCAATTCTTCACAAAACTCTGTACCAAATCCTTTGAATTCAGTTTGGAACACATCAAACATGTCCAAGGAGCATGACAGGCTTTGTGTTAAGACTCTTAAAATCTTTATGTGCTTCACTTAAGTGACGATGAGTTAATGCTTTTTCATATTGTAGAACAAACTCGTGTAATTGAGTCTATGAGTTAACATACCCATCAAAAAATGCATTAATACTTTCACTTCTTTGGCTCGATCTCATTCCAGCAAAAAAAGTGTCCTTCAAATAACATGACACCCAATGTTCTCGATATTTGTAAACAGTTTGCAACCATCCATCCCCTTCTTCATTTATATCAAAATTCTCCTTCATCTCTAGCCAATATCCTTCACACTGTTCAATTGAAGAACTATTACACCATAAGCCCTAATACCTTTGAAACTGTTCACCATAACGAGAAACCAAAGTAGGCAAATGATCAGTAATGTGCTTTTGCATGTGCCAAAAGCAATAACGATGTCTTGTCAGTGGAAACACAGAGTGAATAGCATTACACATGGCTCTATCCTGATCTGTTATAATAGCACCTGGTTCAACCCCATGCATGCATTTCAGCCATTCTTCAAATAACCACATAAAGGTATCTTCTTATTCATCAGCTAATAATGCACAACCAAGTAAAGTGGACTGTCTATGATGATTCACACCAGTAAATGGAGCAAATGGAAGACTGAACTTATTAGTTCTGTATATTACATCAAACACAACAACATCACTTAATTGCAAATAAGACGCTCTTGATCTTTCATCAGCCCAGAAAACACTCCTCATTTGTCCATTACTGTCCACTTCTATTGCAAAATAGAATTCTGGATCATTTGCTGTCATACTCTGAAAATGTTTTATGATAGATATGCATTCATGGCCAATATTGTTGACTCTCTGGTATCTGATGTGATCAATACACTGTTGTGGTGTCACTAATTCGCCTTCTCTTCCAGTGGTTGCGTTAATGACGCGAGAAATAGTGGATGGAGGCATACCTTCTTCTTGCAGACTCTCAATAAGTCTTTTACAACTTTGAGATTTATGGAATTGTTGGTGTGATCTGTGCATCTTTGCTTTGTCTGGACTACTCAACACATGATTTGTATGTTCTTCAACAAACCCCGTGACCTCCCACGATTTGTCCTCCAATACTTTAACTCTCATCATTGCCTTACATCCCACTCGGGTCTCTCACCGAAAAGGCATCTCCATCTTGTCTCTATTAGATCTAAAGCCCTCCTTATCACAAACAAACTTTCTGTCCAGCACGTCTCTTGTCTTCTTCGAGTAATTTACCGTGCTCTTCCTTATTCCAAAACCCATCAACAATGCGTAATGGTTATAATAGTTATAAGCTTCTTCATAAGTATTAAATTTCATTCCGAGTAGTGGCTTAGGAGCATTTTCTGTACTGGCAGAAATTTCAATTCCACTAGCACTTGATTCTCCCATTTCGAACACTTTTTTTGCTGTAAAAGAGATGCATGGATTCATCAAGAAAAATACATGAATTTACACAAAATTAATTAGTTTTATGGCTATAATGCATGCAAACGAACTGTTATCATGATTGACTCATGTAATTTTTAACTGTTATCATGATTGACTCATGTAATAACCAAGACTCAATAAGAAAAATACATGAATTTATAAATGTTATCATGATTGACTCATGTACATAACTTCTTCACGTTTGTGTCCATATATGGTAAGAAAATAATAGAAATTGGTTGATAAAATATTTTGAAAGAAGGAATCATGCAAAGGATTTGATGTTGAAAACTTGTGAAGGGGATTCGCTCACACCTTCTTCGACTTATTTCTATATCCAGACATGTAATTTTTTTCTTTTTGAGACAAGCTGGTTAAATTTTGTAATAAACTCCAATTGATAGGGCAAACAGGTTTCCCATTTTTTTCCTTGTTTTTGTTTTTCTGGTTGCAGCTCATCTCTGTTGGACGCCTTTCTAAAGGAATCAAACTTATTTTCACCTTTTTCTACTTATTTCAAGTTATGTATGGATTATATGGAAACGTCAACATCTTTCTTTTAGCAAAGTTGAAGAAATTTCTTGTTTAAATTTAGTGCCAGTTGATGCATATGGCAACTTACTGGGTGTGCGCTTTATCGGGGGTCACGAGCGTCGGAGTGAGAGAGAGGGCACGCCGTCGGTGGTGGTGTGCTGCTCGGTCGGGGGTCACGAGCGTCGGAGTGAGAGAGGGGGTCACGAGCATCGGAGTGAGAGAGAGGGCACGCCGTCGAAAAAAGAAAAAAGATGTTGGGTACTTACCTTGATATGATGGGTTGGACAAACAAAGGAAGTCCAATGGGAGGGTCGAAACTACCTTGACAATGACCTTCAATGGAGATGGAGGAGAAACATGCTCAGGAGAAGCAGAAGGGGTGTCAGGCATGAAATAAAAAAAGAGCTAGCGTTTTTTGAGTGGGGTAGTAGCTTTCATTTGTCCTAATTATTAGGGGCAAAAACGGAAGAAAAAAATTGACAGATCCTTTCCAAAAGCTACTTGCAAAAGACACAATCTCTAAAATAATATCCTCCTACTTTTTATCACCAAACAGCTCTACTAGCTTATTGACCAAGTCAATAAGACACAATCTCTTAGATAAGACACAATCTCTTGTTGCCAAACAGTACCAAAATCCGTCCTAAAAAACTCTTTCACATTTAGTCATCTTCTCCACTCAGACTTGGTACTAAGTTGACCGTCGAATGGACCACCGGAGATCTCAACTCCGACCTCTTAGTATTCTGCATGTGTAAGCTCAAGAACAAGTTGTCTAAAAATGTTTGAGAACCCTAACACCCCACCTCATCCACAGATAAACTCTCCATTAGATAAATTGACATCAACACACATACATGCTTCCGTGTGTATATATATACGTATATACATATACATATATATACATATACATCTATATATGTGTGCGTGTACATATATACATGTATAGAGATATACACACACAAACACACATACGTATTATACATGCATATGTATTATATATACATAACATACATACATACGTGTACACACACACGCGCACACACACACACATATATGTGTGTGTGTGTGTGTGTGTACATATACATATACATACATATATATATATATATATATATTCATGGAAAATAAATTGATCAAGACACTTAAAAATTATTTAAAACAAAAAGTTAATATGTTCTTTTCAAAACTTTAATTAAATTTCTAGATTAGACTTGGTTTTATATAACTACAATAAAAAGATTTTCTTAAAGATTTACTTTGAAGTTATACATAAAAGTATTTTTTAAAGTAAAAACTAACTATAATTAAATTGTATAATAACATCAAGTGAATTAATTATTCATTAACTTCTTTAAATTGGCAAATTGATCAAATTTTGTAGGTATATACATTGTAAGCCCTCATGAGACTTCAACTCATCCTCTAGGGTAACCTATGGGTTTAAAGCATTATTATATGCACTAAATATAATTGTGATTCCTTCGAAAGTGAGTTAGAATTTTTCTTTCTTTTTCTTTACTAGAGGACTAGCAAAAGTTAGGTGTGGGGCTGTTTGATCATCATATTTTATTATATTTGTATACCCTCATTATCTATCTTAATTGAATAAATATATCACTAATAACATGTTTTATCTTAATTTATATGCTAATAAAGAGTTAATGAATAAAAGCTCAAAAGAGTCAAATTATCTTATTTTCTATCATTTATTGAAGTCTAATATGAAGACAAAAGGAGGCCCAAAAATACCCAAGGAACTAGAAATCGGGCCAAGAAGTCAATAAAAATTATAAATCGGTTACAAATCAATGATTAACCAACCGATTCACCAATCGATCAACCAACCGATTCACCAATCGATCAACCAACCGATTGGTTCGTAATTGAATTAGTTTATAGCTGAGATTTAATCCTTATTCCCCAAGCTAAATCCAATCGTTCTTGTTCATTGTTGTAGGTTATAAATAGGGGTAGAGGGTGAGGGTCTGAATGTGTAAAATTTTATAAAATTCTATTTAGAGAGGAGGCTTAATTAAGGAGACCTTTTAAAATTGTAAATTTTATTTGCAATTAATAAAAACAATACCTCTTTAAAATTTTCTTTTCTTCTCTTCATTGATTGATGATGATGAAGATGAAACTGAAGATGAAGATGGAGATTTACTTTCAATGGGCCAACCCCATGCAACGTAAGTTTTCCTTTTCTCTTTTATTTTCTTGCTTTAGATATTCATGTTTTAGGATTTTATTTTTTTATGTTAGTAGATTAGATTTATTTTGATGCCTTGTAGAGTAGACTTACTTTTATGTTCTTTTACTTTTGTTATTTTCTTGCATTTTTATTTTATAGTATAGATTTATTTTCTTGCATTTCTATTTTTGTAACATAGATTTATTTTTATGCTCATAGTTTAGATCTTTATTTTCTTGTTATTGTTCTTATTTTTGTAATTAGTTTTTATTTTATTGTATTTTTATTATCCTTCTTTCATGCTCTCTAGTATAAATTTTATCTCTTGGTTTTTATTTTCCAAAATGTGTAACTAAAATCTTGTAGAAAGTTTAGAATTGTATGAAACTAGTTTGTTTCTTTTATGATTTGTGGATTGCTCTCTTATGCTCAAAAGTATCATATTTAGGACAATTAACCAAAGAACTAATTGGTAAAAAAAGAATTTGATAATCTATGTTTATCTTAAATGATTTGATAGGTTGTTGCTTATGATTTTTAGAATTACTACCTAGTTGTTATTCTTTATATAAATATTAATTTTACTTGGATGATATTTGATAGTTTATGTTTAGTAAATTTAAAGTAAAATATGATAAAAAAAGAATAGCTCATAAATTCTAAATAAAATAAATTAGTGGATTTAATTCTAGATTTCTGTCTTATTCACTTGATTTTCTCTCCCTTTTTAGATTAATTTCTCACTTACTTCCTTTTTTTCTTATTTTATTTTTATTTTTTAGTTCTTTTGTGATTCTATTTCTTCTTGTTTCCTCTTTGTTCCCTTTTCCTTTTTCCTATTTTTGAATTTTCTTCTTAATTTTTCTTGTTTTATTTAGTTGCTCTCTTTCTCCCCTCTTGTTCTAGTTTCCTTTTATTTACAAATAATCACACTTTCTTTATACCTCTCCACATTTACACTTTTGCTCTTAATTGTTCACGTACAACTTTAAGAAACTCTTTTAAAGTTATATCTACACACCTTCCTAGAAGCATCAACATCTTTGTAGACTACAACTTGATAGTTGTGCATTTATAACCTTGTTTTATTTACCCCCTATCAAGTTTTTGGGTGGGTTTTATTTGCATCAACAAAAGATTTTTTTTTTACATTGTAATTGTCTCTGATGTGAGAAACTAACTAAAAAGGTGGAATTAAAAAAATACCACAAAGAGGACTTACCTTTTCAACAAATCTTCAATTATCGATCATTGATCTTCAAGCTTAAAAGTGGTTCCTTCACATGAGAACATACAAATTAAAGAATTAAAATAGAAAAATCTTAATTATAAGTACCTTTCTTAGTAACGACCCCAAAAACTTGATAGTGGGTAAATAAAATAAAGTTACAAATGCACAACTATCAAGTTATAATGTAGAAAGATATTAATCCCTCGAGAAAGGTGTATAGCGGTATTTCTAAAATGGCTCCTTAAAGTTGTGTGTGAACAATTAGGATTGGGAGTGTAAATGTGGAGAGGTAAAGGAAAGTGTGTGATTATTTGTAAATAAAAGAAAACTAGAACAATATGGGAGAAAAACAGAGTGCACAAATAAAACAATAAAAATTAAGAAGAAAATTCAAATAGAGGAAAAATGAAAAGGGAGCAAAGAGGAAACAAGAAGAAATAGAATCACAAAAGAACTAAAAATAAAAATAAAATAAGAAAAAGAGGAATCAAAACTTAATCTAAAAAGGGTGAGAAAATCAAGTGGATAAAATAGAAATCTAGAATTAAATCCACTAGTTTGTTTTATTTAGAATTTATAATTATTCTCTTTTTATTATATTTTACTTTAGATTTACTAAGTATGATTATCAAACCACTTAAGGAAATCATAACCTATCAAATTATCATCCAAGTAAAATCAATTGAAAAGAATAACAACTAGATAGTAATTCTAGAA